TTCAGTTAATTTCCAGACTAGTTTGAATACACGTATTCTACCCCCTCCCCCTTGATAAAAATAAAAATAAAAATGCTGATTTAATTTGGATAGAGTTGATAAATGGTAGCTGTATAGAATAGTTTAATGCATGCTCGGATGATGCAAGTAGTTATACTCAAATCTTTATTTGCCTACATGTCTGCTTAAAAATTGTTATAAAGAATAAGATTGCTAATTTATGTGTTTGTGCCAATGATTTCACACATCTATCAAAGGTTTATCATAACATCGAATGTCTGTCATGGTCCTAGATGAAGAGTTAGGGATTGGCAAAGATGGAAATGGGAAATTGAAAGGAGAATTAGGGATTTCAAAAGATAAAAAGGGGAAGTGGGAAATGTTAAAGGAAAAGTGTATTATCTGAGGAAGAGCACGTGATGGAGCAAGCCAAATCAATGGGCAAACAGTTGGGTCAAGGATTGTGCCGGTTTGTAGAAGGATCCATCCAGCTGGGAAATGCAAACAACTAGGGAGCATTAGCAACGGTCGAGGAGAGTGTCAACTCTATTAGAAAAGGACAACAGTTGTCATTAAATAATGCGTACACCCAACATGAGATATATAGACTAGAATGGACTTTTTTAAAGTTTTATGAATGAAAATCTGAAGTGTTTTCTTTCTATAAACCCAAATTCTTCTATTTCTTAAATTCTTTCTTTACAAATCAGGTTGAATCAGAGCACTTGTGATCCCAAAATCAATTTCACGCTAGGTAAATCGAAGAAAATGCAGAAAACTGGAACCACGAAGGTACCAAAATAAGTGGAGGCAAAGGAGGAAGAGGTATTACCAACATAGTGGGTAGGGCAGAAGAATGAGTTGGAGACAAAAATGCAGAACCTGGAGGCAGGAATAAAAGAAAATAGAGGATATGAGCAAAGAATCCTACAGTTGATGGGTAAAACTGCTGAGGAGATAGGTTTACCTTCACCAAGAAGCTGTCAACTGCAAACAACTAAGAACCAGTCTAAAACAGAAGGTAAATAATCCTACCTAGTAACAAGGATTAATGAGCATGAGAAGTATTCATTTAAAACAGAAGAACCTAGAATATTATAATCCAAACCTGTTGTTGTTCCACAAAATCTCGAGAATCAATTTCATGATGTTACTGAAGCTCAAAAATTGAAAATGGGATGAAATCTAACAGAGTTAGGAGAACAATATGTAGGTGGTAATATGCAATTGAGTTTTACTTTTAGACCTAAAATAGAGCTCCAATCCTTTGATGGGACAAATCCAAGGAGTTGGGTGAAGAAGTATTTTTCGATTTTTAATGTGCCTAAATCCCAACAAGTAATGCTAGCTACAGTGTATTTGGTGGGGAAGGCAGAAACATGGTTTCATGGTTATATAGCTTAAAAGCATAAGGTAAACTGATTAGTTTACTGCAGATCTATATCATAGATTATGTGACCAGAACTGTAATGATATAGTGGAGGAGATCCATAAACTTACTCAGAGGCAATACGTGGATGAGTATCATAAAAAATTCGAGGAGCTCAGGTCTTACATGTGGCAGTACAATACTTTCTTGGAAGAAGGTTATTTTGTTTCAAGATTTTTGAGTGGGCTGAAAGAGGAGATCAAACATAGAGTGAAAAGTCACAACCCTTCAACTTTTGCTACTGCTTTCAGGTTGGCTAAGCCATTTGAACTGACTTGGAAGGTGGAGAACATGAAACTTAGATATCAACCAAAAGTAACATCAATAGGATACAACTTCACTTATAAGTCTCCTAACACAGTTGTTAACCAACCATAGAAAGGAGTTCCCCAGAATACAATCCAAAACAGGCAAACATTGGTGGAGTATAGAAGAACACATGGACTGTGTTACAAATGTGGAGATAAATGGCTAAGCCATTTGAACTGACTTGGTAGGTTGGGAATAAGAAACTTAGATATCAACCCAAAGTAACATCAACAGAATATAACTTCACTTATAAGTCTCCTAACACAGTAGTTAACCAGCCATAGAAAAGAGTTCCCTAGAATACAATCCAAAACAAGAAAACATTGGTGGATTATAGAAGAACAAATGGACTATGATACAAATGTGGGGATAAATTCACTCTAAGGCATCAGTGCAGAACTAAAAAATTGAACTCAATGGAGTTAAAGGATAAGGGAGAACCAGAAAAATCAGAGGCAGAACACAATGAATATGAAGTTAATCTTGTGGAAAGGGAATTAGAGATCTCAATAAATGGTATAACTAACCAAACTGGTCATAACACCTTGAGGATTAAGATCCATATAAGGGGAAAGCCTCTAAATATCTTGGTGAATAGTGGAAGAACACAGCTTTATTAGCAGTAAGTGGTCAAAGGAAGGGGTGGAGCTAGAACAAACTCATCCATTAATTATTACAGTTGCTAATGGTGAGAAACTTTCTATTTTAGCCAATATTAAGCAATTGAAGTGTGGAATACAAGGTTCTCAATTTGAACATGACTTAAGCGTTTTATCTCTAGGAGGGAGTGACAAGGTTTTAGGAGTAGATTGGATGAAGAAGTACTGTCCCCTGCTGATGGACTTCAACAACATAACCTTTAGTTTCCAGAATGAGGGGCAAGAAATTACTTTGAAAGGAGGACAGAGTTTACTAACTGTAAAGATGATATCTGACAGCGAATTGCAGAAACTGATGGAGAAGGACATTGAGTTAAGAGGAGAAATTTACATGCCAAGTGAAGAAGTTTTTGAGGTACCAAGACATGCAGTTGTTACTAACAAAATACTCGGTGATTTTTGAAGAACCTAAAGGGATGCCACCTCAAAGAGAGCATCACCATTCAATTACATTGAAGGTTGGGGCTGAAGCAGTGAATATAAAGCGTTACAGGCTGCCTTATCATCAAAAAACTAAAGTTGAGAGGAATGTGAATGAAATGCTATCCTTTTCTATAATCCAGACTAGCAAAAGTTCATTTGCATTGCCTTGACTACTAGTTAAGAAGAAGGATGGGAGCTGGAGGATGTGCATAGATTATAGACAGTTGAATGCCTTAACTGTAAAAAATAAATTTCCAATTCTTGTGGTTGTATATTTATTGGATGAGTTGGTAAGAGCAACCTATTTTTCTAAATTAAATTTGAGATCTGGATACTGGCATATCAGAATCACTCTTGAAGACAACCATCAAGATTCATCATGGGCACTTTGAATTCAAGGTTATGCCCTTTGGACTAAACAATGCTTGAACTACATTTGAAGCTTTAATGAACTTTTTTGGACCTTATTTGAGGAAGTTTGTGTTAGTTTTTTTATGATATCTTAATCTACAACCCTGACTGGGAGAGTCATAGAGTACATCTCAATACAATTCTGGAAGTTCTAAAACAAAATCAGTTATTTACTAAGGAAGCAAGTGTTTTTTGGCCCAAAAAGAGGTAGAATATTTAGATCACATTACACCTCATCAAGGGGTTGCTACTTATCCAATCAAAATTCAGATAATGTAGCACTGGAAATTACCAAAGACCCTTAAGTCACTAGGGGATTTTCGGGCCTCACATGTTACCACGTAAGGTTCTTTAAAAGGTATGGAGAAATTAGCAAACCCTTTACCAATATGTTAAAGAAAGATCAGTTTATTTGGACAGAAGAAGCTAAAAGTTCCTATAAAACGTTAAAAATGCTGTGTAGAGATCATGTCCTAGTACTGTATAATTTCAACAAAAGTTTCTGTTTATAAACTACTTCTAGTTATAAAGGAGTAGGAGCAGTTTTATCTCAAGAGGGTAAACCAGTGGCTTATCTTAGCAAAGCTCTTGGACCAAAACAGATGAACCTATCAATTTATGAAAGAGAATATCTAGTAGTACTTATTATATTAGCTGACCCTTTTTTCCCATATGTAAGGGGTATGGGAGAGGTATTACAGTAGGTTGCCCCCAACGCCAAGTTGAGAGCAGCTTCCGTGGAGACCTCCGAATTATGAAATGCCCTCCGTGGGACTTGATCCCACAACCACAAGGTTAAGAGCCTTGTGCTCTACCAACTGAGTTGGACGGGCATTTCACATCTAGCAATACTTATTGCCACCTCTAAATGGAGACATTATTTGGAGGGTGGTTCCTTTATCATCAAGACAAATCATGAAGCTCTTAAACACTTACTGGAGTAAAAATTAACTACCTTCATACCAAAGAGGGGTTTTACCAAACAACTAGGGCTAGACTATTTTATTCAACATAGGAAAGGTAAGCATAACTTGGCTCAACATAGCATTTTTAATAGTGGTGATTCCTACTTGGGTTCTGGAAGTTGAAAAAAGTTACGAGGGTGATGTGGTTACCAAGGATAATATTGTCAAGTTGGTTGTTCCAAGCCAAGATGTTGCATACTGGTCTTACTATAAAAATATATTGAATGCAAAGGTAGTCTATATTGGAGAAAAAGGCCCTCTAAGGCAACAAATTTTGCAAGTGTTGCATGACTCACCTCAAGGTGTCATTATGGGGTTCAAGCTACTTATCACAGGATGAAATCTGATTTTTATTGGAAAGGACTGAAGAGGATGGTCAAAGAGTGTCCAACAGTGTGACATTTGCCAAAGAATTAAGGATGAGCATGTTTTAAAGCCTGAATTACTACAACCCCCAACACTACCTTGAAAGTTCATTACCATATTTTGGTAATTGTTGATAAATTTATCAAATATGGACTTTTTTCCATTAGTGCATCCCTTTACAGCGGTGAAAGTAGTTAAAGTCTACTTAGGTCAGGTCTACAAATTGCATGGCCAGCCTAAGATAGTTCTATATGAAAGACATAAGGTTTTCACAAACCTTATTATGGAAGGAATTACTTAAGTTGTTGGAGTCCATTACCCTATTCACTATAGCGTTCCATCTTGAAATCGATGGACAAACGAAACGGATAAATCAATGTTTGGAGTAGATCTACGTGGGATGTGTCATGAGTCCTACTACTTGAAGTGATTGTCCCAAGCTGAATAGTGGTATGACACCAATTTCCATATTGCTTTGAGAACAACACCATTCACATCTTTGTATGGCTACACACCACCTACCATGACCTGGGTGACAGATTCAAAGGTAGTTGATGTACAACAACTAATGCAATAAAGGTACCAGGTGAATAATATTTTGCAGGATCAATTAGACAAGGCACAACAAAGGATGAAACACTATGCAAATCGGGGGAAAAGTGACAGAGTTGCAGGAGAAAGATGAAGTTTACATGAAGCTCCATCCCTATCGTTATACCTTAGTAGCACTCAAGAAAAATCTCAAACTATCAGCTCGATACTATGGTCCCTACAAGGTTATAAAAAGATTAGATCAGTGGCCTACAAATTGGAATTATCAGCACACTAAAAAATTCAACCAGTGTTTCATATCAGCTTGTTGAAGAAGAAGATAGGGAGTAAGACTGTTACCTCGAGAGATCCACCAGAGGTTAATCTTGATGGTCAAATTTGTATTTATCCTGCCATGGCGTTGGACATGAGAATTGTGAAGAAAAATAACAAAGCAATTACTCAGCTCTTAATTCAATGGGTGAATTTAGGATCAGAGACTGCTACCTGAGAGGATTTTACAGTACTGAAATCAAAATTCCCAGACTTCGATCCTTGGGGACAAGCATCAACTGTAGAATGGGGTATTGTCATGGACCTAGGGGAAGAGTTAGGGATTGGAAAAGATGGGATTGGAAAATTGAAAGGATTTCAAAGTATAAAATGAGGAAGTGAGAAAAGCTAAGAGGAAATGTTTATTATTTGAGGAAGAGCATGTGATGGAGAAACTTTATGAGACACACATGATAGAGCAAGCCAAATCAATGGGCAAACAGTTGTGTCAAGGATTGGGCCGAAAAGTAGAATGATCCATCTAGTTGGGAAATATAGACGAATGAGGAGCATTAGCAACGATCAATGAGAGTATTAGTTATGTACTTCTGTTAGAAAATTATGAAAATGTCATTAAATAATTCGCACAACCAACTTGAGATATATAGACTGCAATGGACATTTTTAAAGATTTATGAATGAAACTGAAGTATTCTTTTCCTGTAAACCCAAATTCTTCTATTTCTTAAATCTTTTCTTTACAAATCAGGTTGAATCCTGATAATGTCATAAATTGGGGAAAAGAGTTAGTACTCGAATGAGAGAAATTGGGAATTTCTGAAGAAAGAGAAAATAATTAGGAATTTCAATTGGTTAGATAGGGGTTAACGGGTTAGAGAAAGATAAGGGGAGTAGATTGGGTCAACTAAAAGAGAACAATGAAAGTCAAATAGATCATGGAGGCAGACATGATGATACGAACTTAGCATATTTGAGGACATATGAACCCAACAAAGATGCAAAGAATTGAAAAAGAAGACGACACTCAATAAAGACAAACCTCAGACACTTAGATATCTGATTTCCACGAAGCCCCTTCTTATAAGTAAAGAAACCTACCTAAAAACGGTTTGACTACTGTATCGTCTCATCACTCCAATGACAAGTCACCACATACCTGCTTTTCCAGACGTTCAACATGGATTTATTACAACCAATACGAAAAGACAATTCAATTTAAGTGAAACATGAAAATCAGTTGATGTCTCGAATCATGTCATTTTATGATATTCACTCGAATAAAGAGAACAATTTTTATTCTTTCGGAGTACATTCAACAAAGACTGTCACTCGGAGCTCATCTTCCCTAACCTCTAATGTGAACTTGACAATCAAATCTAACGACCGACTATTTTAATTTGTATAAATTGATAATCTACTGATAGTTATGATGTTTTACTGGCACTTATAATGACCCTATCGGTAATTTTGATGACTCTACCCGTCGTTATTTAATTTAAAATATTTTAACGTTTAACCTCAACAACTTTTAAACTACTAAAATTTCTAACTTCATCCATTGTATATTACAAGATTTATCTCCACAATGTTTTCTGCATCGTGTTTCTTATAATTGCATACACATGTTATTAGAAGCGTTGACTAGTTAATTTAATTATCATATATTCTCGCCGTCCTACTAAATGTGTCTCTTTTTGTTTTTAAAATTGTCACATTCAAAATGTCTTATTAAAAAAATTATTTATATTATTATTATTATTATTATTATTATAATTATAATTACTAATATTATTATTTATTATTAATATTATTATTAAATATTATTACAAGCCCAAATCCAACAGTAACCGGCCCAAATCCAGAAACCCAATGGAAACCTTAAACCAGATTAGGGTTTCCCTCTTCCCAGCCGCCTCAGCTTGCTGCCGTTGGATCTGGAAAGATCCAACGGTCCAGAGATGCCCAACAAGGAAGCCCTAGGGTATCATAACCCTAGGGACACGTCCCAGCTGCCAGTGCCACGCCGCAACGCCGCCGCCTTGCTGAAGAATCCAGAAGCTTTGTTGCTTCAACACTAACCGCACACGTCTCCCCAAATGGTGAGTCACCACTGGAAGTCCGGTGACTCACCGAAGAGCCCTTTTGGGACCGGTCCGATGGTCACACTGGTGATGGCTATAAAGCCATCACCCCATCTGCAAGCAAAAACAGAGAAGAACGGGGAGAGACGAGGAAACAACAGAGACAGAGAGAGATACAAAAACTACCAACGATCCCAGTCAACAACAACACAGCAACAACAACAAAAAAGAGGAAAGAAGCTTACCAAAGAAGCCTTGACCATCGCCGGAAACACTAAACATCGCCGGAGAACAGAAAATACCGAAGGTATTTTCATAGATTTACTCCGATTAGGAGTCTTTTTGGAGAAACAAAGGCCGGATTCGGTCTTAGGGTGTTTAGATCTACGTTTTAGGTGAATTTGGGGAATTTTCGACCACCGGAGGCGGTGGTCGGCGGGGGAATTTACGACGGCAGACGGCTGCCGGATTCCCTCCGATGAGGGAATATAGAGAGAGGCCAGAGAGAATTCTGGCTCTCTCTTTGCTTGAGAGAGAAAAAAAAAAGAAATGAAGGCTGGCCCTTCGGGCCAGCCGTTTTGGACCTTAAATAGGCCTTCCCGAACGGCGTCGTTTCGGGAAGGACTATTTGTGCAATTTTAAATTGTTAAATCCCGTCCGCAGCCATCAAGATTTGTAAACTTTACATTTTAGTCACTAAATCAAGTTTATAATCTTTTTAATTCAGATCTTTAATTTTAATTTTATTTATTTTAGTCCTTTGTATTAAAATAATATATTTAGGGTAAATAACAGATTTAATCCCTTAATTTTAATAAATAATATTTTAATACCTAGTTTATGTTTTAATTTATTTTATTCTAATATCCGAATTTTAGATAATTTTATTTTAGTCACTAAATAAATAAATAAAGAAATAGTATGTTTAATCCCTATAATTTGATTAATTATGAATTAGGTTTTAATTTTACTTTTACTATAATTTAGTCATTTATTTTAAATGTTTTCATTTATTTTACTGCTTTTAAATAGATTGTTCTAGTTGTATTTTTATTGTTTTAATTTTACTTGTTTATATTTTTAAAATTTTTTATTATGTATTCATAATAATAATAATTTATTTTTTTAATAAATTATTTTAATATTTATTTTTCAATATCGAAGAAAAGGACAGTCTTAATACAACTGGATGTCCTATTCTGGTATTTCAAAATTAAAAAATATAAAAAATATTATTTAATTTTATTTAAATTAATATTTATCAATATCAAAGAAAAGAGCTGTCTTAAGGCACCTAGAAGTCCTTTTTCGATATTTTTAAATATTTTTTATAATTTTGAAATAATAGGATTATAAATTAAATATATTTTGAATTTTTAAAATTTTTAATAATAGAGACAATTTATAATTAAAAAGTACCAATTTTGGGCGTTGTAGGGGTGTTAATCCTTCCCTAAACGTAACCGACCACGAATCCCTTTTTATTATTAAAAAGAATGAATTTTTGGTTATAAAAGCAGATCAGTTCATTTTTTAATTGATGTTTTCTTAAAACTCTTTTAAAAAATAATTTTTAGGTATTCGACCTACCTGACCCAAAAGGCCGATGGCGACTCCCAAATTATTTTCAAAACCATTTATTCACATCAATTTTCCAGCCAAGTATAATATTTCGTGCCCGGACGAAAACCGGTTACGACAGCTTGGCGACTCCGCTGGGGACTGGTCAAACTTTTAAAAATCAATTATAAATTGTCTCTATTAATTAAAAATTAAAAGTTCATATATTTAATTTTTAATTCTTTCTTTTCAAAATTTTTATATTTACTTATTATTTTTATAACATTTATATGTTTCATTTTATTTGCAAGTATTTTATTTCATTATTTATTTTTCTGTCAAAGGTTTGAACATTTCTCCTCACACACAACACTTGCATTGCATAACATAAAGCTCTATAATTGAGTTGTCCTTTTTAAGTGGGAGTGAAAGCGACGTCTTCGTGAGAATTTATTCTCCGTGTCAGACCTAGCAAGTAACTTTTGGGGTTCATATGCTCTATGTCTTCGTGAGAATTTATTCTCCGTGTCAGGCATAGAGAAATGTATCCCCTCGAATTGAACTCGATCCATTTTAGTCTGTGATGGACTAGGATTGAGGGTTAGCAACCCAAGGGGGCACTAACAAGGACAATTCGGGTACCTTTATTCTTATATCTGAAACCCTGCATATAATAAACCCTAGAAACTCTTCCGATCCGAAGTCATGCCGAAATTTTGTCCAAAATAGGTGTACACACAGGAGAAATGAATTCTAACTTTCCTGTTAATTTATTTATTTTCTTTACTGATTAAATTACATGTACGTTTAAATTATTTAAATTATGAAAAAGCATGTTTAAATAAAAATATTTAGGTAAATGTTATTATTAAATTTCTTTATTATGTAAACTAATTCATTTCTTTTTGTGTGTTCTTTATTTTTCTGTTTGCATAGCATCATACAGGATAAAAGGCATTGATCCTTGTGTTAATTGTCTCATTGGAAAGCCTTCATCCATGGATAAAAAGTGTTCAAATCAAGTAATTCTAAACTCAGAAGTAAGACAGTGGGCTGAGGACTTACAAAGACAAGAAGGAGACAGTCTGCAGGATGATTATGTATCTGACTTAGCCAGTTATGCTCCAGTTTCGCTAAAAAGAAATGATATACAAGATTTGCGAAGTATTTGGGAAAGTTGGGATTCAAACAAAAAATTGCAGTTTTATCAGACTTACAGAGACATCCCATATTTGCTCTATGTTGAAGTTGATGATGAATTACTCAGAGCCCTAATTCAATTCTGGAATCCAGGGTACAATTGCTTCACCCTCAATAAAGAGGACTTGGTCCCTACTATTGAAGAGTACACTATTTTGTTACATATCGAAGGGGCTTTGGAGAATCGAATCTATTCAAAGTCAATTAAAACTCAACCCTTTCGAGTTAAATTAGCAAAGATTGCCGGAGTACGAGAAGAATGGGTGGCATCCCGTACAAAACAAAAAGGCGAAAGCGAAGGCATTGCTTGGACCAACATTAAAGAACTTATTCAGAGTCATCCAGTTACTAAAGTACGATTCGATCTATTTGCTCTGGGTATGTATGGTATGGTCATCTTCCCAAAAGTATTGGGATATGTTGAAGCTGCAGTGGTAGATTTGTTTGAACAGCTACCGAAAAAGATTAATCCTGCTTCTGCAATCCTAGCAGAGACCTTCAGATCGTTAAATGCTTGTAGAAAACTAGGAGGTGGACGATTCTCA